ATTATTGATATAGTGTTTGAATTGAAGGAATGGCAGCGTGATTGCCGACTTGACAATCGTCTATGGACAGCACGTTAATATGTCTCACTTTTCAACGTTATTTAAAGCTCTGTATGTCGATGGAAAGTTATATAACATTACTGTAAAGCCTATTGCTGACAATGGTAAGAACGCATGATAGTTACATACAAAAATTACTGCAATAATTGCTAAAATAAGATATTTCATTGGTTATATCTAGTGTATCTAACAGTTTCTTATCGTGTAAAGTTCCAGGAAAGCCTCCTCACAATGTCACAGCAATTGCAAAAACCTCCACTTCCATCCGAGTCTCATGGTCGTGTCCAGATTGTGAAACAACTAATAACACTATTGCATTCATAATAACCTACAAACCACGTGACAGTAACATCACGCAAGGCATCACGGTTAACTCTACGGTGCGTCACATGACCATATTAGGACTGAAGAAATTTACGTCATATGAGTTGTTAGTAGCGAGTGTGACGTCACGAGGAGTTGGAATCACGTCAACACCAGTTTATAACACAACGTTACAAGATGGTACGTATGTCATGTATACACAGTGACAAGACAAATTGTGCCTCTTGTTGAAGTTATTGTTGCTGTTATTATCTATTTCTAGAACTGACCATTGTCATTGTCGCTGTTTTGTTATTGTTTCATTGTTGATTATTTTTTCTATTGCTGTTATCGACATTGCTTTTGATGTTATTAAGATTTTGTTCTTCAATAGTACCAAGTCAAGCTCCGTCCACTCTCACAGCCTACAACACAAGCAGTACGAGCCTAATGGTGGACTGGGGAGAGATTCCCATTGGTTACATCCACGGCATTCTACAAGGATACACCATCCAATTCAAAAAACTAAAGGATTTGAACGGCAATTGGACGACTGTTACTGTTGCAGCCAACGTCACCAATACAAGYCTTACGTCACTGGACAAATTCACTGAATACGTCATAACTGTCAAAGCTTTCACTGTGGTAGGGTGGGGTCCGTCAAGAAATGTCACTACATCCACTGACGAGGATGGTGAGTAGTGACAATAAGTTGTTGATGAAATGCGAAGAAATTTTAATTTTTTTCTCTCTCATTTAGTTCCCAGTCTACCACCGTCKAACATCCAGGCCAGGAACATAAGCTCAACAGCTATTGAGGTGACCTGGAGCAGAGTCCSATCAGGCTTTACTCACGGAATTGTTACAGGCTACCACGTGTTGTACCGAAGGTCCAACGATTCAAACACAACCTATATGRTGGCAACTACTCATGCGCGATCCAATCTGACCCTCAGACTTACAGATCTTAATAAATACACCGAATACAGTCTTAAGATGRTGGCATTCACTCGGATAGGGAATGGGACCGAGTCCAAGGAAATTGCTGTTTATACTGATGAAGATAGTATGTAGAAAACACAGCAATAATTAATAGTATTAATAGACCCCTTGCAGTTCATGGGAATGCAGCTCCAACTGGAGGACAAAACAATAGATTCTAGTTCCCAAGAGGATAAAAATCTTTTGTTTTGTCCTCCAGATGAAGCTGCTTTGACGTCACATGCAAGGGGTCTATAGCACTAAATCACGCTGTTAGTTATTAATGCAGTGATCACTTCAWAGCCATGCTGAATGGCATAGTCATATAATTTCTTTACGCCATTACCTCCAATACGGTAATTTCTACAAAACACTTTCMTATTCATGCCGTAACCTTAACTAGCTGCACATAACGTAATCTAACGTAACTTGTATGATTGGTTGAAATACATCAAATAACATAGTGCCAAGAGCTAACATTATCATTTCATTGTCTAGCTCCCAGTCTTCCTCCGCCAAATGTCCAGGCCTACAACACAAGTTCAACTTCACTCAATGTGACATGGAACCCGATTATGCCGACATAYTTTGTTCATGGGATATTAAGGGGATACCGAATCTTATACAAACAAACAGATGACGTCAATGGTAGCTATAGCAACGTGACTACCCTTAGCAACGATTAYGAGTTGAAAGAACTGAAAAAATTCACAAAGTACTTCATTAAAGTGTTGGCCTTTACCAGTAAGGGGGATGGTGTWGACAGYASACCATTCAAYGTATCTACCGATGAAGACGGTAAGAGAAACTGTTCAAAGTACTTTGATGTGGACAGGAAGGCAGCAAGTAACAGTAATATGGCGAATAACTTGTCTATACATGCCACCTCTGCACTCACAACACCAATTTGTTCTCTTAGATTATYTCTCTCGTTAAAGCAATAGGTTTTCCGTTGCTAGCTCTTAGTTATTTTCAGTAATGTGGTGAAAAACTTGTAGTCTCTATAAATCACGCACGCTATCTCTACTTTGAATGATTTGTATTACGCAACACCAGTTTGCTCGGACTTGATGACAATTTCTTCACGAGAAACCTTGTTCCCTTGCGTTTTTTTCCTTCCTCAGTCCCTAGGTTTTCCGTTTCCACAYCTTAGTTATTTTTTGTATCATTTTTCGTTCCAGTTCCAAGTCGTCCACCTATGAACCTCAAGGGACAGAACACAAGCTCAACAAATCTATATCTCTCATGGGATCCAGTACCTCRCGGCTTTGTTAATGGGATTTTGCTTGGTTACAAAGTTCTGTTTAAAAGAATTAACGATAAATCTTGGAACTATACAGATACTGTAACGACTAATACTACACGTGAGGTGGTACTAGTAGGATTGAAGAAGTTTACMATCTACAGGATTACAGTATTGGCATTTACCAGCAAAGGTGATGGACCAGAGGCTGACAATGTGACTGTAACCACTGATGAAGATAGTAAGTAGACTGGTAACTAGTGGACTGGTACCTAGCGTGTAATACCATTAACATACCATACTGCTCACAGCAAGGTGTTACAGCCTTTTGCACAAATTATGAGACATTTTTATATATATAAATATACCTAACCAAATTTCAAAAACACCCAAGAAATTATGGGATACCGTCGCTGATATTTTGTCTGTAACAACCTGATGCTAGGCAATCATGACAAAATATAATAGAGATATACCATAATTTCTTGGGTGTTTTTGAAATTTGGTTAGGTATATTTATATATATAAAAATGTCTCATAATTTGTGCAAAAGGCTGTATACCATACTATATATATACCGCGTAATTGCATTTACCAAACCATAAGTCGTACCATTCACAATACCATGTTTATAATATCACATATAGAGTTATTACATAGGCATAATGAGATACGGATTTTATCTTCAAGTGTTTATTGATATCTCACGATGAGCGTAGCGAATATGTAATACACCACCTCTTATATTCAGAYTTTAATTACCATACGGTAATATCATCTTCGTTGTTTTAGTTCCCACTCTCCCACCAACAAATCTTACAGCACGGAACACGAGCTCTACGTCACTCTTGATCAAGTGGGGCCCAGTTCCCAACGGACACGTGCATGGTATTCTACGTGGYTACAGAATATTGTACAAAATGGCTGATGACGTCATTGGTAATTTCTCTAACAACATCTCTACTACCCAATCAGCCAATTTAGCAGGACTTAAGAAGTACACCGTGTATTTAGTGAAGGTGTTGGCTTACACAGTCAAAGGAGATGGACCCATGACCCATAATGTATCCATCAGCACCGATGAAGACGGTGAGGGTTCGCTTTGCATCATTGTTCTTTTTGTGCAATTCTATGGATCGGTGGGGGCTCGCTTTGCATCGTTGTTAGCGAATGTCATGGATCAAGGAAAGATCTTGAATTAGATAAAATAGTTATTTAAGCATTAATTGAAAATATAAAGCCATTAACTGCCTGACGTGTGGGATAGGCAGAACACATAAAACACGTCTAATACTTCTCTCATGTACTACTTATATGCGCATGCGTACTGTATTACTCAATAGAGCATGCGCGCTCTTCGTTTGTTCCTTCATTTTCTTTAATAACTTTGATGTTATGTTTTAGTTCCCAGTCTACCACCAACAAATGTTAGCTCGCACAACACCAGCGCTACGTCACTGAATGTCACGTGGTCGGATATCCCRTCAGGCTTTGTTCATGGCATTTTACTGGGGTACAGAGTGCTTTACAGCATCCATCGAAGGCGTAGTGACAGGAGCCTGGGRGGGAGTCACATGACAGCAACTGTGACGTCACCAATCATCCAAACTTTGGTTTTAAAAGGGTTGGAAAACTTTACTGAGTATAACATTGAAGTTTTGGGATACACTCGCATTGGTGACGGCATGAAATCTAACGTAATTAAAGTGACTACAGATGAGAACGGTAAATTGATTGTTTTAGTCTCGACGTATCTGTCTTACGTTACGCATTKACGTTACGCAGATTAGGCTTGAATGATACACGTAACGAGGATACGTGATTGGTACGTTAGTTGTTCATAGTCATTATTAGTCACAATAATCGTTATTTATTATTTTGACTATTTCAGTACCGGGCAAACCTCCCCAGAATCTCAATGGTAACAATGCATCTTCAACAAGTATACAGGTTTATTGGGACCCCGTCCCCAAGGGGTTTGTMTACGGGATTTTACGCGGATATCGRATCATGYACAAAATCATCACCGATAATWCCTACGTAAACAAGACACTTGGAAGAAACAGCAAGAATGTATTGTTATCTGGACTGTTAAAGTACACGAAATATGACATCAAGATWCTGGCGTTTACGCGGATAGGAGACGGCGTACATTCRCAACCCATTCGCGTCCAAACCGATGAAGACAGTACGAATGATTTTGTAATCGTTTTTGTCATGTATAGGTAGTAGTTACGTAAACGTAGTGGTGGTTGTTTTCTTGTCATCGTTACGTAAAAGAGGTGTACCACCTGTAAAACGACCACTTATAGAATTGTCGTTACGTAAACTTGATGATCAAGGTGCTTTGCAGGGTAGTCGTTACGTAAAGGCAGTGTTCTTATTGTAGGTGATCGTCTTGTAGGATGGTTGTTACGTAAAAGTAGTCTGTTGCGTAAAGGTAGTTTTGGCATGGAGATGGTTGTTGATCACATATGGTCATGGTGATCGATCGATGTTTTTAATATGTTTTGCTGTACAGGGTTTTCCTGTTTTGACTCGTTTGTTATTATTGTCACTAGTACCCAGCATGGCTCCTCAAAATGTACAAGTAACGAATAAAATCAGTTCCACGGAAATTCCCATCAAATGGCGACACATTCCTAAAGCTTACGTCCACGGGGTGCTACGTGGCTATCATATCAAGTACAAGTTAGTAAAACTCGCCGACATTAACGTAGAAGATCATGGTTATAGCTTGATTGCAGTTTCTTACTATGAGACTAATGCAACGCTCAGGAATCTTGAAAGTTTCGCGATATACGAGATACAAATAGCTGGATTTACCATCAAAGGAGACGGCGTCTGGGAAACCGTTTATGGAAGTGAGTATACAAATAAGAATAAGTCTATGAAATCGATATAGCTCAATTATAGTGGTAATCGTGAATACTGTATTATTCAATTTCTAATACATTTCTAATGTATTAATGGTATGATTAATGAATGACTGAATGATCGTTGAAGTGGGCCAAATACAGTATATGAACGCGGCTCGTTGCGTCCTAGCGCTGCCGGCATTGTTAGTGTGTCATGTATTTTTTAATTTATTGTTAGTGTATAATTAATGTATTTTTAATATATTATTCCAATAGCAACATGTAGATGCCATTCTRATCTACATTCTAACTGGTTCTCTCACCCACCTTACGTAAGAGATGATAGTAGTTTTTCCGCTAACGAGTCCACTTTCAACAATCTAACAACGGATATYAAAGGGATCTTTCCCCCAATACTTTACGCCGCGGTTAAGACGTGTTGCGGGGATTGTGCTGTTGAATCGTCGTTGATTCTTAGTGAGAAAGGCTACAAGAAAGTAGGGATGATTCAAGTCAAGGATTCTATTAATAATGACACTGATTTCAACTTTCCTATCGATGGAATTAAGGGACAGACTAAATAYCAAGGAAACCAGGTCAGGAATGAACGATGATGATAATGACAGTGATGATGATGATGATCAATGATTTTATATTACTCTGATGTTTCATTTTAAATCACTTGTCGATTCTTTTTAGAAACCCTTCCCTGATGTATATAACAATTACGTACTTATTTATAAATAGTTTCAATAAATAGACAATAAAAGAAATTCCACGTGATATTACAATCTCACGCTCGTATCAAGAAGTTTTCGTCAAGTTTGCATTTGTCATTCTTCCACTATTCCTAAAATTCAATCCCAGTATTTTTCCAAGCGTAAAAGAGGGACATGGATCTGAAGTACCACATGCTTATCTGTTCAGATCTTGGGATATATTTGTGTACCATGTAATACTAAAAGACTACTATTGTTCTCAGGGTGAATTCGAGTTTGTTTCTATCATGGACATGCCGGGCGCAGCGTTCTTGGTGGCCGATAGAAGGGATATCCATTCAGAGGTTTTGCACACYATTCTTGGCTGTTGGCCGACTGTCGTGTTTGTTTTTGTGGTTGCTTATCTCTCRGGAATAGTTATATGGATAATAGTAAGTACGACCAAGAATGCATGATAGAAAGTACTCCCGCCTCTCGAT